ACCTCACGCACAGACCTCTGGACCCATAGCCGGGGCATTGGCCTCGATGGATGCGGAAGAGCCCACAAAACGTAAGCAAACCTTCACACTGCTGGTTGTCATCAAATCCAAGTCCAAGGCCAGCTGGATGGAATCTAGCATGGTTTGACCTATCACTGAACACATCGCTGAAGGATTGATCTTTTTCCTGCCTTTTGGAAGGAACCCTGACTACTCTTGTCAAGCACCGTCTGATGGCCTCTAGGATCGTGACTGCACTTGCCGCCCTCAGGCGTGTCAGACAGGGAGACGGCTAGTGAGGGCAAGCGTACAGTTAGGATACCTGTCGGGACTTTCCCGTCTTGGCCGAATTCATCCAGATCAAACCCCGAAAAACAGCACGCTGGGGATGCAATGCGGACCTTGGTGGTCCTACCAGCCCAGGAGGAGACCGAGCGGGGCTCCAAGGCGGGCGAAGCGAGATGCCCCACCAACCCGCATCCTCCTGCGTCTACCATGGCACATGACAGCTTCACCGTGGCAATATAAAAAATTGACCACATGAGAGTGAAGCCTGTGTCGCGGAGCGAGAGCCGCCAACCCACATGGGGCATTCCAGGATCTAAGCGGAAGGGGGGGGCGTCCTTCCACCGAGGTGCAGAAAAAAATCGCACGCCCCACCTCCCACCCCCCCTCTACGCAGCATCTCGTCCAGCCCTGATATGACTAGACCAAACATATACAGCGCCGATTGTTTACGAAGATCCCAGACATCTGCGTTTAAGATGATATCTACGGAAAGCATACGCACTTCTACTTCAGGCCGAATAAGCTCTAAGGATGTCTCTACAGCACATTGAATATCACTTTCCCGACACTGGCCGCAGAAAAGGATAGCTATAAAAACGGTCCAGCAGGAGGAGGAGACGGAGGAGGAGCAGGAGGAGGAGGAGGAAGCGGAGGGGGGAGCAGGGATGAGGGAGGACGGAGGAGAATGGATGGAGGACGGGGGAGGACGAAGGAGAGAGAATGACGATCGAACAACACGCACCCATACCCATAGGGAGGACGGAGGAGGCTATGGGTGCGTGTTGTCGGATGGGGGTCCCCGCTCGAACGGGAGCTTCCCCCAGGGTCCGACAACTCGCACCCATACCCATAGCCACTTCCCTCCTTTCGACTCTCCTATGGGTATGGGTGTGAGTTGTTCGGTCGTCAGAGAAGGGATGGGATAGGACACGCCGGGCGGACAAGGCCGAGCCTTCCGGCCACGACTGCCGGGAGGGCGGGCCCCGCACCGCCCGGCGGCACGGGGCGTCCCGCCCCCACCGGCCAACAGGCCAGGAACCCCAACCTCCGAGAGAGAGAGAGAGAGAGCACTGCCGTCCCTGCGGCTCCGCGCGGCTCGGCGCGGCCCGCCCGCGGCACGCAAGGCACGAGGAGGAGAGGAGGAGAGAAGGGGAGGAGGAGGAGGAGGAGGAGGAGGAGGAGGAGGAGGAGGAGGAGGAGGAGGAGGAGGAGGAGGAGGAGGAGGCGGAGGAGGAGGAGGAGGAGAGGAGGAGGAGGAGGAGGAGGAGGAGGAGGAGGAGGAGGAGGAGGAGGAGGAGGAGGAGGAGAGGAGGAGGAGGAGGAGGAGGAGGAGGAGGAGGAGGAGGAGGAGGAGGAGGAGGAGGAGGAGGAGGAGGAGGAGGAGGAGGAGGAGGGAGGAGGAGGAGGAGGAGGAGGAGGAGGAGGAGGAGGAGGAGGAGGAGGAGGAGGAGGAGGAGGAGAGAGGGGGGAGGAGGAGGAGGAGGAGGAGGAGGAGGAGGAGGAGGAGGAGGAGGAGGAGGAAGAAGAGGAGGAGGAGGAGGGGAGGAGGAGGAGGAGTAGGAGGAGGAGGAGGAGGACTGGGCCGCCTCCTTCCCAACACCTTCGCCAGGTCCTCCTCTCTTCCTGCTCGACGAGTGTCGAGGCGAAGTCCTGGAGCGCAGTGGTTGAAGCTCCGACGGCCCCTGGCGTGGCCATGAGGGGCTCGCGGAAGTGGTCAGCATTGACGCCCTGCTCGGGGGGCTCGTGTCCACCGTCAGCTGCAGATTGCAAGCCTCCTCGTCCAGCTTCTCAACGGCCAGAGTCTGTTCATGGCACTTGCCGGTCGCGCCAGAGATCGGGCTGCTCGATAAATTCGAGACGATAGGTTCTTCCAGCTTGGCAGTCTGGAGACAAATTTCCGGCCACGGGCTCGTCAAATAATGGCCCGTTGCATTCGCAGCACGCCTCCGCACTTCAGACTGGAGCCCGTCGGCAACGTCATGCAGACAGATGCGATGCTCCGCGCTTTGCTAACCTCGCGCGTGAGGTGTACAGACATGTGCTATCCTTTCGCCTGAGTATCCCTCACCACTGATGATCTTGGAACTGGCAATTTCCAACAATTGCCCAGACGAAGAGCGAATCTTTTCGAAAGTTGGCTCCCGCCTGGGCGCCGAGCTCATGCGCGGGTGATGATGTGCTGCTGACATGTTTTAACCAAGGGGAATGTGTCGCTGGCAATGCAATTTGCGCCCGAAGAGGGGGGGAAACACTAGGTGGCAGTGCAAGACACGCGTTGGTGATTTTGTGTTGGCACGTTGATGCCCGCACAGTGTGGCTCCAGCACCACAGCGCCTGTGCGCAGCAGAGCAAGCACCACAGTGCGCAACACAGTATAACACCGCCGCAGCCGCGGGCATCACCACACTGTTTTGTTCCCCCACACCCTCCTTCGAGCATTATTATGTGCTGGTATCTGCTGGACGACGAGGGCGCCCGAACGCCGTGCGATGACGACCACGATTACGACGACGAAGACGACGAACGACGACGACGACGACGACAACGACGACGACGACGACGAGGACGACGACGACGACGACGACGAGGACGACGATAAGGAGGACGAGGACGAGGACGAGGACGACGACGAGGACGACGACGACGAGGACGACGTGGACGACGAGGACGAGGCCGGAGACGAGGACGAGGACGAGGACGAGGACGACGACGAGGACGAAGACGAGGATGACGACGACGACGACGACGACGACGAGGACGACGACGACGACGACGACGACGACGACGACGACGACGACGACGGCGGCGACGACGACGACGACGAGAAGGACGGTGACGACAACGGACGGCACTGAAGGTCTCCGGATACCTCAGGAGGCCTACGGAGGTTCCCAGAAATCTCCGAAAGCGTCTGGAGGACCCTCGAGGCCCTCGGCGACCACGACGAGGACGAGGTTTTCCTCCACATACAATGGGTTCTGGTGCGGGGCCAAACGGCGAACAGCCCCACGCATGCGGGGTTCGTGCCCCGCAACTTGCCCCGAGGGGGGCCAATGGGCGACTATGCAAAAAGTGCTGCGCCGCTTCCTCAGGCCCCCAGTCCACGACGCCAAAGCTAGGACAGCTTTCGCCGACCCCCGAGAGCTTCGGCACTGGCAACACCGCTTGCAAAACAAAAGCGCGTCTCCGATCGTCGGCAGTCTTTCCGATCGAAAGTACTGGATGGGGTAATCTTTGGCCTCGACGAGAGCATCGCTTGCACTGCCCCCGGGACGGGCTGACCTGAAGAAACTCGCGAGCAACCCTGCAGGCTGGGACCCTACGGGGGGTGGCCCTCTGCCGTGATTTTCATTCATCCTCGAGGGGTTGGCCCCGATTTGAGCACGCGGGAAGCAGCGCGCACAAACTTCTTTACCCTAGCAAAGTGGCCTTCTAGGAAGACCAGGGCGAAGCCATGCACATCATGCAGTTCGCAGGCTACCTTTGCCGCTTGGTCGGCATGGTTGGTCGTTTAATTGCGCTCGCCAGTCGGACGGGGTCTCGGGCCTCTCTGGCACCTCGACATGCCTTCTGCTTGAGGAGCCCCCGAAACGCCCCACCCAGCCGAGCAGCGCCCCCCCCAAACACTTTCAAACCGGCCTCCTGGGGCCGCGCCTGTGACCCGAGACGGCCCGCGGAGAGCACGGCATTACAGTCGGCTATGTAGCTACACGTGCCATTGCTGAGACGAGCCCCACACTCGCACGCCGCGCGCTCGGCAGTCACGGCCGCCTGGGCAGACGCGGGGGGAAGGGCCCCCACGGCGCGCGGGAGTCCGCCCGCGGCCTGACCCCACTGCGCCACCCCGATCCCCCCCCGACGAAGCGACTCGAGAGGCGAGGCCGAAGCCGATCCATCTCCAGCCACGGGCTCGCTCGAAACAAAGACATCGGGAATCGAGATCCCCCCGCCCCATCGGGAGGCACGGGACCGAGGAAGGGGGGGGGGGCTTCAGATTCCGGCTTCACCGGCAGCAGCAGGCCCCTCAATATTTTTACATCGCCGCCGGAGCGGCACGCCGCGGGCGCCTCGCCCCCAGCGCCCAACAGAGAAGCGCGGGCACTCCAGGACGCGATGCGCCAGGGTGTCCGGCACTCAGCAGTCCGGGCACAGCGGCTGCACCGAGTAGCCCCAATGGTGCGCGAGGCCCCTCGACACGCTGGTCCCGCGCGCGGTGGAGACGAGGATGCGCCGCGTCAGCGGCGGGGCACAGCGGTCGACGATAATGGCCCACAAACCCTCCCACCAAACTCCGGGCCCTTCTTGGGGAGATACGCAGGATCGAGAACTCCCCGAGGCCCAGGGCCTCGAAGGCCGCGGCGCGCCGGGCAACCCAGCCCGCCCACTTCAAAGACCTCGGCGCGGCGCCGACCGGTCCTGCCCCGGGTCGGTCCGGCTGCAAATCGCGCGCGGCGCAATCAAAAGCCGCGCGCAGCTCCTTGGGCGCGGGGACGCGTCCGCCCGCCTGGCGGCAATCGATCGAGCGCCACCGCACCTGCGCGCAGCGCGCAATCGCCATCGAGACCGGGTCGCCCAGCGCGTCGAGCTTCGGCAGGGCGGCGCCAAGCACGTCGGGGCTGGCGCGGGCATGCCCATGGGGGGCCTTACCTTGGGCCCGCAGCTGCTGGATCTCCAGGTCCGCGAAGCCCGTGACCTCGCCGCCCCAGTCCGCAGCCGGGAGGGCGGCGGCGCGCCAGATCCCACGGCGCCCCGCAACCTGCGCCAATGCCCGCAGCGTCTTGCGCATACGGGCCTAATGCGCATCCGCATGCGTCTGACAAGTCCCGCCGAGCGCACCACTCCAGCGCCTCGCGCGCACTGACCTGGCCGCCGCGACCGAGCACGGCGCCCCGCGGAAGTCGACGCACAGATGCCACGTGAAAGATCGAGCCTGCTCCTCGGCCATCTCGCCTCGAACCGCCGCCCGCCACACAGCCAGGGACCTTCTGCCCGTCGCCCGTGACGGGGACGCCCCAATCGTCGAGCTCGCGCCGCCACGCGCGCAGGCGGCGCCGCTGGCACTTGCCCCCCCCCCACCCACCCACCCACCCCCCACACACACACATACACGCACACATACACACGCGCGCACGCACGCGAACACACGCACACACGCACACACACACACACACACACACACACACACACACACATACACATACACACACACACACACACACGCACGCACGCACGCACGCACGCACACGCACGCTCGCACACACACACACACACACACACACACACACACACACACACACACACACACACACACACACACACACACACACACACACACACACACACACACACACACACACACACACACTCACGCACACGCACACACACACACACACACACACACACACACACACACACACACACACACACACACACACACACACGGTAAAGCGCATTAAAGTAGCCGGTTGGCCTGCGCCCTCCACCCAGCGGCTTCAGGTACCGGACCGAGAACCACTCCTGCTCGCACGCGGGCACGAGCCCACTGGCCGTGGCCAAATTCAGCAGGCTGGCCGTCGCATCGAGGTCCGACAGCCACCCCAGGCGCCGGGGGGCGGGCCCCCGCGGGCTTGCAGGCCCCTGCCTCGAACTTGCTCGCATCCTTGCCCACGTCGCCAGCGGAGACGAACAGGTGGTTGCACCCCTGGCCTTCTGCCTCCACCATGGCGTCGAAGCGCGCCTGGACCTAGCCGAGTCGTGCCAGCGCCCGACGCGGGTCGAGCTCGTTCCAGTGCCCACCCCAGTCACTGCGATACCTGTCCAAGAGCTCGAGTGGGCCCGAAGCGCGATCATGCACGGACCGGCGCTGCGTGGTGAGCTCGGGCTCGCAATCTCTGGGGCCCGGCGACCACCTGCGCTGCGTCGGGGCGACCATGGCGAGATCCGCATGGAGCGCCTCGCGCCAGGAGGCCACAGCCTGACGAGCCCCCTATCAAGCATTATTTGCATATCCGCTCGGCAGCCACAGCGAGCAACTTCACCACGCGCGGCGAAGTGGGCGACACCCGCGGTCTGCGGGAGCTCCAGGGAGTCGAGAGGGGGGGGCCATCATTCACATCAGCGCCCTGGACGCACGGGCGCGGGTCGTCGAGCTCCCTATCCAAATCGCCACAGGGGTCGCGGTTCCCGTCGAAGCAACCAGCGGGAAACTCTGCACCGAAGCAGGCTGCGGGGGCCCCATCGGATTTCTTGCCCGCCGGGAAACCAACCCATTTGAAACGAAACGGGCCGGGGTCTGCCGCCATGCACCGGGGCGAAGTTCGCCACGTTGTCCAGGAGACCCTGGGCGGAGCCCCGCATTCCGCCCAGCTCGTCGCCGATGGCGTCGCACGCGCGGAGCGGCAGCTCTTCCCACCAATGCCAGGCTGGCTGTCTGCGGCAATGGTAGTGGAACTTGCCGCCAAGTTCGAGCGCGCCCCGAAGGCTCCCGCAGCGGGTCGCGCTGGGCCCTCGCGCCTCCAAGGACTGTCTCCAGCATGCCAGCAATGTACCCAAGCTGCCCCCCGCCAGCCATCTCATGCCTGAGCTGGCCCTGGAACGCGGGTCTCTGGCCGTGGCCAGCACCTCGCAGCGGGGCTGGTCTTCGAACTCGGCCACCCCAGCGGGCGAGCGCGGCACCGACGGCGTCGACGACCCCGCCGAAGTCGAGGCGGGCGGTGCGCAGCGAAGCGGCATGAGCATCGTCAACGAGCTCTTGCCGAGCCTCGAGGGTCAGGGCCAGCCCGTCGGCCTCGGCCAGCGCGGCGCGCACCGCCCGGCTGGCGTCGCCCCCGTCTGGGGACGCAGCAAGAGGCTCCACAGGCCTGGTCGCCGGCAGGTGCGGCGGCTGCTTGGCGACGCGCACAATCGGCAAATCACCTGCGCCCTTGGGCCGCATCTCGACGAGGTCGCGCGCCGGGACCAAGTGCTCGGGGTGCACCGCGGGGCCCTCGCACGCACAGAGCCTCTTGTGACGTTGACGCCCCGCGCGCGACGGGCGCCCTGCCCACCGCGGCAGGCGGCCTCCTCGGGGGCACACAGGCGCACGCCCGGCACAGCGAAACCGCCGAAGCCCGCCAGAATGCCAAGCTCCGAGAGGGCCCGGAGCGTGGCTGGGCTGCCGCTGAAGCCCACGCCCGTCTCCAAGCACACCGAATATAGAGCGAGCGCGCCAACCTGCAGCAACCGAGCGAAGGCCACCGCGACGCGCCCATCATCAAGGTTGAACTCCAGCGCTCGGCGATGATCCCGACCCCGCCGTGGGCACTCTTTGATCACCGCCTCGTCAGCTGCAAATCGCAACCCCCGCGAGCGCACGCTCTTCTTGGCTTCGCGCAGCCGCTCACCCCGAAGTTTGTGCTCCTGGCAAACGAAGATCTGGTATGATGTGGACTGCATATCGTCCAACAGTTGCACCCCCGCCCCCCCTGACGCGACGTTACGCACTGCAAACCTGAAGGGTGGCTGCTCGTACTCCCGAGAACCCGACTGCGCGCACCCTGGCTCAAGCACATCATGAGCACCCCGAACAGGCCCGTTGCGTGGAGAGCGAGCAGCAGCGCGTGCACCTGCTCGCCACCGCCGTCTGTCACCCCCGCATCGGGCGCTTGATCGCGTCGAGAACGCGCATGGCGGAGGCCAAGGCTCGCTTTGCATCGGGCTGCGCGGCAGCAGCCTTGAGGATGTCGGCCACCTCCTGGCTGAACGAGTCGGACCTCTGCTCGTCGTCGGCGGCGTCTGCGACGCCTCAACCGCCCGCCGCCTCGCCAGGAGGAGGAGCCCCAAAAAGAGCAGCCTCGGCGAGGGCCTTGCCCAGCAAGCCCACGAGGACCTTGGCGGCGCCTTGCCCGAGCTGCGAGGCACTTCCATCCTCGGCGAGCACCTCCTGGATGAGCGCCTCTTTCTGGGGCAGCATCGAGGGCCAGCGCAGGGGCCTGCTGCGCGCCGCCTCCTGGGGCAGCGGCTGGCGCCGCGCGCTGGGCCGCCGCCTGCACCTCGCGCTCCACCTTGAGGATGGCCTGCTTGGTGTTGCCGAGGTCCTTGGCGTGGGCCTCCTGGTCAGCGATGCACTGCTCCAGGGCCCCCCTCGCCTCCTCCGCCGCCTTGGCCTTGTCAGCCTTGCACTTCTCGAGCTTCTCCTTATTGCCCCTGAACGTCATGACCTGCGCATGCGGAGATTTAGCCTCCAGCCGCTGCGCCCGCAGCGTGGCCGGGTGCTTCTCCGCGTCCGTGAACAGCCCCCCCATCGATCTTGGTTGTAGCCGGCGACCGCGCCCTCCAGAGCGCGTCGATCTGGACCGACGCGTGTCGTCGACGTGGGCGGGCGGCACGGACTTATCAGGCTCAGCTGCGGCAGCCCCCTGCTTGAGCGAGGCGACCTCCTTCGTGAGCTTGGCGAGCGCTGCAGCCAGGTCTCTCTGGCCGCCGCCAGCGCCATCGAAGCTTTTAAGCGAGCGCCCGCCCGCATCGAGCTTGTCGTGGGCGGCCCGCGCGCTTGGCCACGTCTGCAGGGGCCTTGGGCGCCGCACTGGCAGACCACGCGGCACGCCCAGTTGGCCGTCCTCTCGCACTTGCTGCACGCCCACGTCGACAAATTGGCCCCGCGCAGAGCGGCCTTGCCCGCAGGTGGCGAATGCCGCGAAGGCGCTGCGATTACGTGCCGCGCTCCGCACCTGGGACAGACCAGGCGGAGATGCTGAAACCTGGCACGGACTAGTGTAATCCAGTCTGCCTGGAGGCTGGACTGCCTCCCAGGAAAGCATGATGGGCCAAAATGGCCACGGACCGACGAGGACGAGGACGAGGACGAGGACTACGACGACGACGACGACGACGACGACGACGACGACGACGAGGACGACGACGACGACGACGACGACGACGACGACGACGACGACGACAACAACATTGAGGAGGAGGACGAGGACGACGACAGCGACGACGAGGACAAGAACGATGACGACGACGACGACGACGACGACGACGACGACGACGACGACAACGACGACGACGACGACGACGACGACGACGACGACGACGACGACGACGACGACGACGACGGCCGCCTCTGAAGGTCTCCGTTGGACTTTGGGGACCTAAGGAAGTCTCCAGAGACCTCTGGAGGCGTTTCGAGGCCCTCGACGACGACGACGAGGACGACGACGAAGACGAGGACGACGATGACGACGGCGACGACGAGAACGAGGACGAGGACGACGAGGACGAGAACGAGAACGAGGACGACGACGACAACGACGACGACGACGACGACGACGACGACAAGGACAAAGACAGCGACGACGACGACGACGCCAACGACGACGACGACGACGACGGCCGCCTCTGAAGGTCTTTGGAGGTCTCTGGAGTCCTAAGAAAGTCTCCAGAGACCTCTGGAGGCGTCTGAGGCCCTTCGAGGCCCTCGGCGACGATGACGACGACGAGGACGACCGCAACGAGGACGAGGAGGACGAGGACAACGACGACGACGACGACGACGACAGGGAAGAGGGCGAGAACAGGGACGGGGACCAAGACGACGATGACGACGACGACTAAAGCGACGACGACGACGACGATGCCGACGACGACGGAAATGAGGACGGGGACGACGTCGACGACAACGACGACGACGACGACGACGACGACGACGACGACGACGACGACGACGACGACGACGGACGACGACGACGACGACGACGACGACGACGACGACGATGGCCGCCTCTGAAGGTTTACAAAGGTCTCCCAGGAAGCGTCTACAGGCCCTGCCGTCCCTCGGACACGACGACGATCGTTAAAGTAGCCTGCAAGCACCTCTGTAGCCTGCGAGCATCACAATGGCAGTGCCGGAAACGCACTACGGGGGGGAGGACGGGGGGAGGACGGGGAGCGTTACGTTATGGGGGGGAGGGGGGGCATAACGTGCGTTATCACCCAGAGGGTTTAAAAACACGCTCTATGTGGACCTTGGGGTGAGGCGATTGGCAGCTTCATCCCAAGGGTGAGCATATGGTGCAGGCAGCTTTAGAGCCAGGGGTGGTGGTGGTATGTTGCTTGCACCCTCAGGCGAGAGAGTCATGTTGAAACGGAAACGCACTCAATCCGTGGAGCTCTGTCTCACAAGCTTGCACTTCTGGCATATCTTGTGTGGGAATATCTAGCAAAAGCCCCAAATTACAAAGAAAATGCCCTCCATCCCTGCAACGGCTCGGGCATTGTAAGGCAAGCTGCGGCGCGGCGTTGAGATGATAGCCACAGCTTGAAAATGAGCCCCTTCCTGTCTTGAAACTGTTGGAAACTCTTCCGACGGAGGTGCGCGGCGCTCAGGCGAGAGCCACAGGTTGGAAGCCACACGCACTCCATCCTAGGAACTGCTGGAGGTTGTTACGACGGATGTGCTCGGCGCTCAGGCGAGAGCCAATTTGAACACGATCACGCATCTATCCGAGTAACTGTGAAACGTTCAAGCTTAAGGGTAGTCAGTGGTGGGGAAGTCAAGGGCGAAACGCCCAGCCCGCCCTGACGACACGTCTAGCGGCGCAAAATCCGACGACCCTGTCGGCGTGTGCGAGGGGCTTCCTCGTCCGTTCCTCGCCGCCCCCCTTTCTTCCTTCCCCCTTTTTTCTTTTTGGGCCGTACCCTCCTGCCGTCATGCCGTTGTCGATTCGAAGGGAAGCCCCTTCCCTTCGATCCCTTCCCCAGGGGGGGGGTCCCGGGGCGGGTGGGGGGGGGGGGGGTGGGGGGGGGTCCCGAGGGGGGTGGGGGGGCAGATTCGTTTTTCCTCGGGGGGCCTCGAAACCTCGAAAACACTCCAAATGAGGTCCGAATGCCCAAGATGGCCCCCGAGACGGCCCAAGAGTGCCCCGAGTCGCCCAAAGATCGGCCGAAGACGCCCAAGATAGCCCCAAGACCGTCCAAGAAGCCTCCAAGACGTCCCAGGCCCCCTCCAAGAGCACCCCCAAGAAGGGCCCAAGAGGCCACACTCCTTACTTTTCCATCGGAAACTTCTAGCATATACGACGTTTCGGCCTTCACGGCGTCACAGACAGCTTCTTCAGGGTCGGCGGCACCGGCCGTAAGGCCTTCGCAATAGCAGTTATTCACAAAGAGGATGGAGGAGGAAAAATAGAAAGCGAAGGAAAATTAGGCAAAATTGCGGAGGGGCAGGAATGAGAAAGAGAGAGGAGGAAGGAAGAGTGGGAGCAGGTAGGAAGGAGAGAGAGGAGGGAGGAGGAGGAGGAGGAGGAGGAGAAGGAGGAGGAGGAGGAGGAGGAGGAGGAGGAGGAGGAGGAGGAGGAGGAGGGAGGAGGAGGCGAGGGAGAAAAAAACATATCCCCGCGAAGGACCCAAACATACGTAGCACCCCGCAGTTGCGGATAAGAGTGAGGGGGCGAGCGCGGGCGACGCGGGCGTGTGAAAGTAGTTTGGGTCGCGGGTGGGTTGCGGGCTCTCCACCATCACCTGGAAGGAATTCAAAAACAGCCCGCCGCAGGCGCCAAAAGTTTTGATTTGTACACTGAACGCGGTTTGGGTCGCGGGTGGGTCGCAGGTTCTCCACCTGGAACGAATGCAAAAGAAGCCCGCCGCAGGCACCGAAAATTTTTGGTAGGTCGCGGGGTGGGTCGCGGGTGGGTCGCGGGTGGGCCGCGGTGGGTCGCGGGTGGGTCGCGGGCGCGGTTTGGGTCGCGGGTGGTCGCAGGTCCACCTGGAACGAATGCAAAAGAACCCGCCGCAGGCGCCGAAAATTTTGGGTGGGTCGCGCGGGTGGGTCGCGGGTGGGTCGCGGTGGGTCGCGGGTGGGTCGCGCGTGGGCGGTGGGTCGCGGGTGGTCGTGGGTCGCGGTGGGTGGGTCGCGGTCGCGGGGTGGGTCGCGGGTGGGTCGCGGGTGGGTCGCGGGTGGGTCGCGGGGTGGGTCGCGGGTGGGTCGCGGGGTGGGTCGCGGGTGGGTCGCGGGGTGGATCGCGGGGTGGGTCGTGGGGCGGGTCGCGGGTGGGACGACGACAATAATAACAAACAAAAGCAAAAACAAAAACAACAACAAAAACAAAAACAACAACAACAACAACAACAACAACAACGACAACAACAACAACAACAACAACAACAACAACAACAACAACAACAACAACAACAACAACAACAACAACAACAACAACAACAACAACAACAATTAC